CCGGGTCGCGCCAGTGGAAACCAGTTCACGATAGACACAAGCTTTTAATTTCCTGCCGCCATTTCAAAGTTTGCAAAAGATTGATAAAATCGATATTTGCATTGGATATATTTTAGATAAAAGTTTGTTGTGAGCATACTGGCCCACAGCACCTTTCTTGCGATCACTCCGCTTTTGTGTGCTGGTGCTAAGTGGGATGTTGCGGTCGTTTGCTTGTCAGGGTAACTGAACTTTTATTATAAGGAATATCGACCACATTTACGAGGAAGTTACGAGCAATACAAGCACATGAGGAATATGAGTTGAGAAGTAAATATGAGATATGATAATCCTGTGAGAGCAACTGCGAAAAGATTACAATGGTATAATGCAAAGCCAGATTGTAATTACGAAGAATAAAGTAAACAATGAGAAACATATAAAGCACGGCTACGCTTAAAGTGCGTTAAACGCCAGCAGCGTACCCAGGATTTCCGCTCGGGGGACGGGGGCGAAAATTGTTGTCAAAGGAAGGTGCGTGGCGTCAGCCACGTACTCTGAACATTTTTTGGGATGCCTCCGAAAAGTTTTGCGGGCTTATGACTCAAAAATTTTGGGAAAACGGGCGTGGCGGCAGCTATGCCCTCAAAAATTTTCTTCACAGACTATCTTGTATAATATTTGATTTTCAGAAATTATTCCAGTTCTTTGCAAGTATAAACATGTCATCTGCACATTTTTGTTACCCATGTAAGTGACTTACCTTAAAAATTTCACGTGCCATTCTCGTCCCCACCCTTCCCCTTCGGTAGCCACTGTTAGCCGCTATAAATAAATAAATAAATAAATAAATAAATAAATAAATAAATAAATAAATAAATAAAATATATGTAAGGGAATATAAACACATTCTGATGAGGGGAAATCTAGATAAGCCGAATATTCAATGCCTGAGAAACTGTCGTGCCGCGGCTGAGGTTCTTCATCGCACATTCCAAAAAGTGCAGAGAATGATGCGAAAGCGAGAAGTACGTCTAGCACCCATGCCAATTTCTCCAGCTCAAAGTTTGAAAAAATCTATCAAATCAATGGAGTGCATAATTTTGCAAATGGTTGTAAATTCAGGAAGCTCACTTACTGCCTTCTGGCTTCTTACCGTCTTCGCTTTCTAACCTCTAACACTTGCAAGGAGAGGATACTTAGTCGAAAGCACCAATTCAAATGAGACATATATCATCTTAAAGCGCTTGAAACGCTGATTCCAAATCTATAGTTTCTAGCTGCGGAGCGGTTTTGTAGAAGGAGTTATGAGAGGTGTTTACCTCTGGGGTTGAGGCCCCTCCAGCACGTCTCCCCCTATCTATGAGTACTGTAGAGGAGTGCCAGCTGGTTGCAACTGGTCTAGTGGTAAGTGACTTGCTTGAATAAGGAGAGTGTCAAGGTTTTAATCCCTTTCGCATGCAACTTTATCGCAAATTTTGCAAAACTGAGCTTCTAGCTAGCTTTAGAGCCCTAAAGCTTGAAATTTCTGATGATACTGATACTATTCAAAGTTAGAAGGTTAAAAGAACCAAAGTGATACAAGTATTATAACCCTTCTTGCAATCTTCATTCAAATTACTGCCACTAGGCTAGTTGTCACCAGTTGGTGCTCCTCTACAGCGCTCATAGATAGGGGAAACCTGCTGGAGAGCGCCTCAACCCCAGAGGAAAAAACCCCTCATAACTCCTTCTACAAAACCGCTCCGCAGCTAGGAACTATTGATTTGGAATCAGCGTTTCAAGCGCTTTAAGATAATATATGTCTCATTTCAATTGGTGCTTTCGACTAAGTATCCTCTCCTTGTTAGTTCAAAGTCCGCTGAAAAGTCATGAATCGATATACATCGGTAATGAAAGTATTGCCTATGATATCCATCCCACTCCGTAGTGTTTATCCAGTTTGGTCGAGATTTGTCCAGAAATGAGATTCCTATTGGTAACGCATTGTTAGACAGAGAAACAGACACTGAACTTTATACATTGTCCCAATCAGGATTGAGCCGGGACGTTAAGGTAGGGGTTTGCGCTGCATCTGAGCACTTCGAAGGAAGCGAAAATATTGAAGAGAGGGAAGACAAGCAAGCACAGACGTGATGCAGAGTTGTGGTGATGCGTGCGGGTGCATCACTCCAAATTTGGTCCGATCACGAGTGGGAAAGACGGTATGTAAAGTGCTGGCCGCAGTACACGTTTTACTTTTTTTCCAAAACGCTAGTATCATCATCAGCTCTGCATAAATTGGTAGTGATGACTTTTAGAGGTGCACTTGCAGGTCTCATCCGTTGATCCATGGTCCATTCGTGTATAATGTGGACCCCGGCCAGCTTCCCATAGGTACCAACGCGACGCGCACGCAGCGCATGCCTTCAGTGCGCTTTTCTTCTAGCTCTACCGGATTTTTTGGCTTTCCTCTCTCAAGTGAGCTTGTTCTATTCTGTAATCTCTCTATTTTAGGTGTAAACAACTCACGACAACTGCCATTGATGAGTTTTCGCGAGACTTGACAGTCTTGAAGCTTTTGATCGAAGATTTCTTTTTTCTCAGTGAAGATAGTGAAGATTCGGATGTAGTATATGAGGAGGTCTCTTCAATGTGCTATTACAGAATAAGCCTGTATATTCGATTGATTTTTATTAAAGATGTTTCCAGGCTTTCTTGATGCGCCGTTGAGGTGTTGAATCTAACTTTGTGCCTTCAATCTTAACTTTTTAGATTTTTGTGACCACATAAGGAAAACGTTTTGAAAGCGTCCTCGACTTTTCCTGGTACCTCTATCATCCACTATCATCCACCACTGGTAGTGTCATATTAGCATCAATGAGACTGACTAAAATCTGAGCGCCAGAGGAAGTCAGGAACGTTTTTTTCATGCTTTGGCTTTTCTCGAGTTTCGTATAGAAGTCTCCACTTCTCATTTCACTCCTTTTTCAAGTAGAAATGCTTTCGTGTTCGTAAGTGAAATGAGAAGCGTCAAATCGAGTCCGCGTTGCGTGTGCGCCGCGGTAGTACCTATGGGAAGCTGGCCGGGGTCCATACTATAGCAGTGGGGTTATTACTGCGACAGAGAGGGGTCTTCGCAGAAGAGCAATCTTTAGCTTCAACGCCGACTTCAACGACTAAATCGTGACATTACAGCAATCCTGTTTTGTTGTTGCCGATGGCTGTTCATCATCTGCTGTGCCCGAGGTGGATATTGCTCGAATTGAGGACAGCTTCATGCGGAAAATCTCAGGGCGGCTCAGTGCACAAATACGTACTGGCGCAAATCTTCTGGAAGCAGCATAGTATAGTAGCCCCAATACCAAAGGGAGCAGCGGGTTGCACTCACTCGCGAAGCGAGCAATCTCTCTGCGAATTTATATGGGATGGGGTCCTCTGAACAAAAGGGGGCTGTAGTAGGTTGTCCGGAAAGTAATGTCGCAATCTGTCCTAAGTGGGTGATTGTCTAGTGTGAACCTTTAGAGTTAATAATCACGAATAGCTTTCTGCGAAACGTAGTCCCGACAAAAATCAAATTTATCGAAAACCCGAATAACGCTACAAATTCGGCACTTTCACTATTTTTGTTTCTCGTATTGTAGCAGTAAAAATTCCACAAACTGTACACGTGAATCTCTTACGTGGAAAGCACATGCCTGAGCAAATCTGAACATGAATTACGCAGGGATTCTATGAACGAAGATCCGATTTTCTGAGTATTTAAAATTGTTTATAATTTGACTCTAAAATTCATGTGAATCAGAGTTTGCGCAAATGTTTGGATGCCATCCTGTAGAGCTTGTCTTGCATATCAAAGGAACTCCAGTCATTGTTTTTCGTGTTCACTCTGCTGCGCAAGATTGCTAAGCGACATCATTTTCTGGACAACCCAGAACATCCTTTTATGTAAAGTTTGCATGCATCCAGCATGCCATCTTCGCTCTGATTTCTGTACTACTTATGCCTTGGTCATCGAAAGATTTTACAACTATGAGAATGCTTTATTTGTAAGCATCAGTAGCAATGGCAGGCGTAAGCCTGTGAGTGTCAGTAAGAATGTCAATATCAGTAGGAATGCGAAAAGAGCACAAGCTAGCTTTGCTAGCTGCTGCGTGGAGTATGCATAGTGAGTGAGAATTACTCGAATATTTTACTTTTAACTTTTTTCTAAGCTATATTATGCTTATTCTCCCAGGCTACCCCTTCGCCTCTCTGCTCAAAGATCGGTGCAACGACAACTCGGCAAGCACAACACAAAATTCAGAAATGGGAAGTTAGGGCAGATAATGATTGGATGTCTGGCACTGTTTCTTTTTCGGTGCCAGACTCATGTCTCGTGCAACAACTAAGACCTTCACTCGGCGGTGCTAATCTAACCAATGATGTCGCTCTATCTATACTGATGCATGATGGACCTTGTAAATCCTAATTGCCCGCGCCGTGCTTTGAACACCAGCGTAGAGCGTCGTCGCGAGGCACTACAGGCGGTCTCATTTACTCATGAATTTTCCGGTCAACATCCACATTATTTTAAGCGTTGCACATTACGTCTTAGCCAAAAAGTGTCTATGAAAGCTTATAAAAATACTTCTAAATGAGGTGCGCGCTCATTGTCGCCTGTGAATAGCCTATACCGCGGCGGAAGCCGCACGTCTCCAATCGCCCCGCGCCTTGGTGTTAAGCGGCCTAACATATTGCCAATGTATGCTGCGCAGTTTAGGCTAGTTAACAATGAAGATAAACTATAAGGCCCCATCAAAGGCAGGGCCAATCGCGCATTTTTTCGGCCGGCTGAAGTTCATTGCTGAAGAGTTTTAGAGTACACTTCCGCTTGCGAAGTTTTCAAATATACTGCCCATAACTGCTCGTGAAGTCACAACAACAACTGTAATAAGCAGAAAGTTCAGCAGTAAGACTTGAATTAAACAAGCTTCCCAAGAGAAGTAATGAGCCTTCAACAATTCACACATTTATCGCTGAGGAAAACAACACGAATGTGAGGTAAGCATTGCATACAGCAATTTTACTTTGTCCACATCGTCTTGTAATTGTCAAAGTAGATCTTCTGTTCTTCAACGGCCGAGAACGACAAAATGCGACCATCACTAGATATCACTGTCATGTTGCATGGAGGAGCTATTTGTGTTTTTTTCCTCATACATGGCAGAGCACGCATTAGTTTCGGATGAGAGTGGGTCATGACCAGTATTGATACAAGGATCTAAACAACTTTTTTTAAGTGATATAAAACAATGCCTCTGACTCACTTCCATTGAAATGAGCGCTATATAAGTCGACATAAGCATCTTGTTGACGAAGAAATCTACGACGAATAAGAGATAAATGTAAAAAAGAGCCGTTTCTAACAGATAGAATGAAGCGTAAAAGATCATGAGAACATTTAGCAAACGAGCCACCCGCAGATTCTCAACAGCTTGGTAACGCACCTCAATGAAGGAGCACATTGTTATTCGTTAACCAGATTTGATCAGGAGCAAGTGCATTTGAATTAATCAATCGCTGAGTTTCAGTATCTTATGATCATTCTTGAGAAAAGGTTTTGTATGGACTACGGGTAGATCTTAATCAGTTTTTCCTCTCTTATGTAGAACTGACCTCTAGTCAGTCTTCATTTAAGTACAGCATCAACTCACTGTCACGGGAGCCTGGCTATTTCTATGATGTTCATGAATCTTCTTGGTAATTGCGGGAAGAATTGAGAATACCTGTAATGAATCTTTACAGTGACCGCGGAGAATCTGAAAACACCTGTAGGTTGTCGAAAAATTGCCTTATGAATCAAGAAGAGGAAGGATTACAGGTTCGCTATATTTTACGTACGTTCCAGTCAAACTCCCCTTGACTCCCTCGCCCCCCCCCCCCTCCATTTGCCTTTTGTTGACTAAATTCACTGTTCTGATAAAAATAGCAAATCTTCAATCTGCTGAAATTTGCAGATTTGCTTCAGCAGGAAGACACAAGTGCACTCGGCCTATATGACGATTACAAGCAAACCCTAATTAGGGTGTATTCGCAAAAGCTTCACTTTGAGTCGACAACAAAGCCACATGATATTATATGCTTATTAAGGTCAGTGCTTTTGTATTCTTTGTTGAACACAATCGGCCCAATTTGCAGCTGGTTGCGATAGATATAACATCTTATTTGCTCCAACTATAGTCAAACTCACCACAACTGACATAACGCATGAGATTGTGAAGATAATCGTCTGATAGAGAAAAGGGATCATCCTTGTTTGATAAGCAAGCACAACCATGGAAGTGAGCACAAGCTGAATTTGTTGGTCTACGGACTTGCGACTTAATATGCGTGTTGCACACCATGCGCGATACTTCACAACCTTTATGACTAGAAGCTGCCAGTTTTTCAAAACTCTTTGTTTTCTTTTCGCCTCTAGTTTGATTGGTTAAGTACTGGCAGCACTATACATTTCGGCAGTTTACCTGTTAGAACGGGTTTATTCTGAATGACAAGTAAAGAGTCGTGGACCGCAGCGTACAATGTGCTGTCACATACTAAGTTGCAAATGACTCGGAGTTTAGTATAGTTTATCCCAATCTGAGTCAGGCCGAACCGCTGGAGTGAGTTTGTGCACCTGCACCGCTAGGAGTTTGCGCTGCATATAAGAGACTAAAGACAGAGCAGGCAAGCGATATGTAGACTGACGCGAGATCGATGCGTTGCGGATGCGCATCACACCAATTTTGACCTGATTCAAATAGAGACATACATCAGTGTTTATCATAGCACAATAGCAAACAGAAGCAAGCTTTACCTGTATGAGGATCATTGTTAAGGCAATCCAAGGAAAACGTTTACTCTCATACATTGTTGGCATCAGGGTGGCACAAAGACGGTCAACGACGAAGTTTGGCAGATTGAGTGCACCGCCGAACATCCCTAAGACCACATTCATTATGACGGAGATGTATTCTGTTATGCAAAGTTCCACTGTGTCTGCAAGTATTGACCAAGGGGAGCGAGTGGTGTAGCGCACCACTATGCCCAAGTCGACAAGATTCGATTTGTTCTTGGGCTAAGCAAACCTTCTACAGTCGGTTTCATCCCGGATTAGGCGAGACATTCTACGTGGAGCAGCGCATGCACATCGCTTCGCGAGCGCATAGAGCTGGCATTTTGCCAAGCAAAGACTAAGGAGATTGAAGAGACGCAAACATGGGCTCTGAGCACGATAGCATGTACTGTACTTTTGTTTAAGCCGTAACAGGTTATTAAAGGATCACTTTATTTACTGCTCGACGTCTCTGCGGAACGCCGTCTTCAGAAGCCTGAAAGCAAGTCAATCATTCATCAACCAAACGATCTAGACCACAGACACTTCCTCCAAGCCGTATACTTGCCTCATCTTGTGACGCAGGTAAGTTTTCAAACTAAACAGCTTATCAAGTGTTCCTGGTGAGGAGCGTGAAGGTGTTAGCTCTTTTTTACGGTCGCCCACAGCAAATGATGACAAAGTGAGCGATCCGAATAAGTACGACACGCTCTAATAGTGTAAGCTATTCATAGCTCGCAAAATGGTAAAACCGGCTTTAGATCACTAGTGATAGACAAATGTTCGTTCTTGTTCATTTTAGGATTACGAGCAAGTATGAGTGACTCATACTTGCTTCACTCGTACTTGCTCGCAATCCTAAAATGAACAGCAAGAACAAACATTTGTCTACACTAGTGATCTGAAGCCGTTTTTACCATTCGAGCTATAAGTAGCCTACATTATTTGAGCGTGTCGTATCGTGTATTCCCCATAGTATAGCGGGTGGAGCTTTGCAAAGTTTGCCAACGTATGCGCGTGGCAGTTGATAGCCAGAGATTACAAAAACCAATGCTTTAAAGTGGAGGTTTAACAAATTTTCCAACTTGTTCAAATGTCTGCAGGGCCACGCCCGTTATACGCATGGAAAACACCTATACTTATTCGGATCGCTCATTTTGTCATCATTTGCTGTGGAAGACCTTAAGAGTGAGCTTACACCCTTACGCTCCTCAACAGGAACACTTGGTAAGCTTTCTAACTTGAGACCTTATCTGCGTCACAATAGACTAGTCAAGTATACGTTTGGAAGAAGTAACTGGTTTTCTAGACCGTTTGACTGATGAGTAATTGACTCGCTTTCAGGTCCCTGGAGACGGCATGCAGTAGAAACGTCGGGCAGTAAATAAAGTGATTCTTGAAGTTACGCTTAATAAAATTGAACACAAAAACAAACACACTACAAAACATGCCATTTTATAAAAAGGAGACATACAATCTACTTGAAGAAGCACTGACTTAATTGTTGGCTGGAACCCATAAGTCATTATAAGGCTAACACGCATTTAGTAGACTCTTCGATCATAAAGTAGGATCCGTTGCCCGTAGAGCACCGAAAACTTCGATCTTTTATCCTTTTTTATATGGCTAGCTTCGATGGAGTTGCTTACAAATTTTCGAAGGCAAGTCTCGAGATCTTTCAAAAGCGGTAAAGTGCGAGAAATTCAGTCTTGCGACACACCATTTTGAGGGTTAAGAGCGCAAAAATAGGAAAAAACCTGCAGAAAGCTTCTTCTCGATTTACCCTCGCTTGAGTTAAGTAAAGTGTATCCATGGGCCGCATGCATTAACATCCCCGCAGAGGAGGGGAGAAAGGAGACCGCAGCTTCAGAAGGAAGCTTCATATCCTGAAGCTGCAGATACCTGGATTTTAAGTCATATAATCTAACCGCAGATATTCTCACCATTCTTCACTATGAACATATTGAACGGGAGCAAGAAGCTGTATTAGCCGCATTTTTCAGCTTTCTATATGATCCCCTGACGGTCCCCGGCGGCCGACCGTCTTTTTTTCAAAGTCATTTTCCTTCCTTTAAAGTTAATGAAAACCTTCCAAAGTTGTACTGATTCTAACTCAACATTTGTTCTTAACAATATGTTGCTGTTAAGAACAAATGAGTTCTTGGAATATCGATTTTTCGATGAACCCCAGCTTTCGACTTGTGGTTCATCGCAAATTTCATGACTTCGAGACACTTGTTCTTACCAGAAACATGATTAGCACTGTATGGTTAGATAAACAGCACAAATTTGGAATGTTTTTGTTTATTTAGAAAGAGAAGAAACACTTCAAAGAAAAGACGGTCAGCAGCCAGAAATCATCAGGGGATAAAAAGCTGGAAAATGCGACTTATACAGCTTCTTGCTCCCGTTCAGGATGTTCATAGTGAAGAATGGTGGAAGTACTTACGGATAGGCAGACAACATGAAGTCCAGATATTTGGGGCTTCAGAATATGAAGCTTACTTCTGAAGCTGCGATCGCCTCATCGGCGGGGATGTTAATGCATGCGACCCTATATCGCATCTTCCTCTTGCTTAACAGTGTATGTCGTAGTAAGCTATGTTATCGGTGATGTACAAGGTGGTTAATCAGCACTTTTACTGCAGTATTACATTCTTTTGCTGCTGATGGAAAAGTGCAGAGAAACGGTAGGTATACAGTAGGCATACGGCGTATTAATTTGTAGTGCATACGCCTCAAAGCGCCTTTGCGCAAGCACGAACAACATCAGTCTGACACTCGTAAAAGGTCTCTGTATAGAACAAAGATAAAGATTATGTTGTTTCCAGCTACACAAGCGCAACGCACATTTCGCATTCTCGCTTGGAGCAGTTGAGACCCTCTAATATTTTTCACGTGAAAGCAAAATGCGCCCAGTTATCTCGACATTTTGAGCTTTTACACTCAGCTTTTTGTTGCAAAGTACTCATGTGCCATACTCTAAAAATGTGTTATACAAGTTCGACTCTATCACACTCGAGCTATTCAAGGCAATGGGCAAAGAACGCAATTTTGCGAGTATCTAAACATTGTGTGTTACTGGACCATTTTTGCATCGCGACATTATCTGGTCTCTTGCAAGCTTTCCTTTTTTGTTGCAAAGCGCTCTTGGGGGGATATTTGTTTAGTACATATCCAATCAAACGCCTTGGCTGCATCTCTGTGTAAGAAAAAAAAACACTTTCACCTGCATTTTGCACGGAGTCCACTATCATGATGATGGTTTCCGAGGTACAGCCAGTGAACATGATTACATCTCTTGCTGTGTACATCAAGATTCCTATCACCGAAGGAATCGGAAGGAATATCAAAAGCAACGATAAGTTTGTGTTGTACACCTGAAGTAGCATTATGACTGACACAGTGCCTTGAAAAGCGTGATATCCCTTGAGAATATTTAATTTGCCAAAAGTAAAAATTTTTTTGTTTGCAACAAGCATGAGCGGACACCGTTATGTATTGCAGGCAAACAACAAAACATCTTATGCACTGAATTTAGCGCGTTCCTCCACAGCGAGTTGACAACAGAACTTTGACCAATGCTTGTAGTCGCAAAAACTTGCGATGTGACATGTTCACCTTTGTGCTACTTCCCATAGTTCGAGTTGAGATTGAGTTGAGTTTCTCAAATAGTTATAAGACAAAGCAAATCTTGATGTTACGGTGTAGACATGAGGTTTTATGAACTTATTTATATCAGTTTTGCAAGGACCTTTTGCGTGAATAGTCTCAGTTTGACCTCTCTCACTCAAGATTTAGCTTCCAAACCTTTTCTTCTGTGACGCTAAGTTGATGCAAAAGTAATAAGCGTTTCTTTTGTGACAGCCGCAGTTTGAATACTGAGAATGCATGAACTATGCTATCTAATAGAGCAGAACAAGCTGCAAGACAACTGCCACATTTTTTAGGAATTGTGGTTTACCTCAAAGAGAAAGCCAAAAGCAAAAAGTATTCAATTAGCCCAAAAATCGGAGCTAAATGTGATATTATTTGATAACTAGAGCACAATCATGGATAAGTCTCCATAGTTCTACTTCTAAATGTTTGTCGAATACGACTATATGTATATGTTTTTTTTCTCACTTTACAGCCGTCAAAAAAAATGCAGCAAATCGTATAAGGTATATGTGCTCAAAACACATGCTGCTTATCAAGGAGGAGGTTTGTAATCTTCTGGTAAGGTCCAATTTTTCAGCCACATAATGAATTCAAATTTTATCTTCGAACCTCGACGAATTCCAATTTACACGGATATCTGGTACTCATTGTGTAGGGCATGTTTCGCTCATAACCCTTTTTTGCTGGACCTTCTGAACATTTTTCAAAACCATTCAACTTTGATGTATCGATTGTTATGAATGGAGAATCAGTTAATCGTGCCGAGACTTCTAGTGTTGAGGGCAAGCGGATAGTCGAGGCGATGAGATTTTGCGAAAACAAGGCATGTCGAGATCTGTGAGCGGACGTGAGGTACTGAAGATGTGCAAATGGTTTTCAAACAATCCGAAATTGCTTCTTCTGTGCCTAGCTAGGGATTCAAACGATCGACGGAGGCCATAAACCTGAAACTTTTTTAACGACTTATGACGGATCACTCGGCCTGATTTCACTACCTTGTCCCCCAATATGTTACGGCAGTAAACGTAGCGAGGTTATTTTCCCACAGAGTCAGAATTCCAAAAATGCATATTCTACAATCACGAACAAAGTACGATCCTATTTCTGTTCTGTTTTTAAAAATGATCAACTCCGATATTGGATTTCTTCGTTAAATTGATAGAACTTCAAAAGCTTCAAGTGATCGCTCAGCAGCTGTATGAGAGCACTCACCCTCTTTTTCCAGAGGCTTCGAGCCAGATAAGCATAAGTTCCCACGGCAAGAAATTCAACCACATTCTGGATAACTTTGATAAACAAAAGCAGCACCCATCTTAACTGTGCACGATCTTGACAGTCAAGTACGGTGCGATCTTCGTAGACCATTCAAGGTTGACCCTAAAATTTGCAGGTCCCGTGAGACAAATAGAGTAATATATTGGAGGCGCATCGAAATCCAAAAAGACATAAAATAAGTTGTGACTGTAATTAATTCTATATATCCATATATCCGACACGAGGTTGATCAAGGTTTGAAGATCGAGGACATATGGATTTGTAAATTCCACGCCGGCGATCAAGAAAAGACACCAATTTGACTCTTCGCGCGGCGCTTATCGCTTTGCATAGAGCTTGAAAAATGCTGCAGTGGCTAGTGTGTTGAAATGAATTGAGGCTTACGTATAGTGCGCTTTATATACAGGTTAATTTCAATTGCACTTTGAGGTAATTGAGGAGAGCGAGTTTCGAGCCATGCTCAAAGGGTGGAAAGCTGGGTCTTTTATAAAATTTCTGCTAATCGAATCAAAATATATGTGCCACAGATGCATAATTTGGCTCCTTACATCAGATGGAAAGTTGTTATATTGTTGACTAGCTGGCATGCTCGGCTTCGCACGCCGAGGATTTAACTGGCTCAACCGAGAACAAGATTGGCGCACAAATTTCAAAAGCGGGGGCTCGGGGAAAATTGCAACTGCGCGCTTTCTGTTCCTCCTTGGCCTTCTGGATGCTTAGATCAGAGCTGTACTTGAAAACAAAAAGTGCTTTTTACGGCGTTCTCCGACCTTGGAGATTGCTGAGGAGGCTGGAGCGGAGATTCCCGCAGCCGAGTCGCGATTGGCTGCCTTGTCCAATCAGCCAATTGCCGCCAAAATGAGTGGTGTTACAATTTCCAGCAGCCAGTCATTGTAGTTGGCGAGATTCTCCGCTCCAGCCTCCTCAGCAATCTCCATGGCCGGAAAACGCCTTAAAAAGCACTTTCTTGACTTTCCAAACACAGCTCTGGTCTAAACGCATCCAGAAGGACGAGGAGGAACAGAAAGTGCGCAGTTGGAATTTTCCCGAGCTGCCTTCAAAGCTCAACTCACTGCGATTCGGTTTTTTTTATTTCTCGTGCAACACAAGGTAGACTTCGTAATCGCGTCGCCTTCGACTGCCCCCCCCCTACTCATCGTCGAATAAAAATGAGTTCTACCGCTACTGTTTACACGTTTAAGTTGTAAGCTGTTTGATATCAACTGATAAGAGTTCATTTTTCTTCAAAATCGATAAATAAATGGAAGGAGCGGAAATTTCGCAGCGAAAAGTAGCCTAGGGGTCGAGCGAAGCCAAAATTATATGTATTCGAACTCTTGCGCTGATTGGTCTACGCACAAAAGTTTCTATAAAAAACACACTAACTAACAAATTACCAACACTCAGCTTTATATATGTATAGACTTGTGCAAATTATTCATTCGATTTCCAGTATTTGAACACCGATCAACAAATCAAGCTCTTCTCGTATGTTCTACGATGATGACGGAGACAGAAGGTTTTACTAAGAACTAAAATTTCTTTCGCATTGGAATTTCGTATTGGTATTTCACAATTCTTCGATCTTGAAATGTCTCTTACTCTATTGATCTTGCAGAAATCAAAATAGAAGACGATGAGCGCTAAGTCCTCTTTTTCTTACTTGTGAGAAAAGTCAAAAGATTTTGCAGACAAACAGACGGATGAACAAAAAATGAAAAAGCCCAAGTGAACTTCACGCTTTTACCAGAAGAAGAAAACTGTAGGTGGTGACCGTGGCTATTCAAGATATGTATACCTCAAAAAATATCATGAGCATTCTCGAGATCATAGATGAGTTTAAGCAACCAAGGTCGCCAGGTATTGAACGAGTTGACTTTTCCATGCTACTCACAAGGGAAGGGCCCTCGGTCGAAGTGGGGTTTCCACACGTGATGCATACCACTGTGCTGGTCTTGAGGCACTAATATCGGATCCGTATTCCTTAGCTGCTCAATGATTTTTTTGGAAAAGTTATGAGCGATGGTTTCTCTAGGGTGACATGGACCGCCTAAATTAGCCGCGGCTAGAAATGTCAGTTGCGGAGGGATGGCCGAGTGGATAGCTGTGGAGACTATGGAGGAAGTGTAAAGGGTTCGGAATACTTATGTTCCAAACATTCTTGCATTCAGATTGGATTGTTTGATATGTATCCTTAGAGGGTCCCTAAGGCAAAAAAAAACACCCGGCGTCCGTTGAATAATTTGCAATAATGCAAAAATGTTTGGAACATAAGTATTCCAAACTTTACCTTAGTTTATAGTCTCCGCAGCTATCCACTCGGCCATCTCTCCACAACTGACATTTCCCCGCCCGCTAACCTAAGCGATCCGTGGTAACCCTGGAGAAACATCGTTCATAACTTTTCACAGAATATCATTGAGCAGAAGGAACACAGATCTGGTACTAGTGCCCAAGATGAGCACAATGATATGCATCACGTGTGGGAACCCTACTTCGACCGAAGGTCCTTTCCTTGTCAGTATCATTTGGGGATGATATCAAAACGCTTGTGATTGATTTGTTGGAGTTTAGTAGACGAAAGAACAAGCAAATTGCATGTTGTATTACTTTTACGCTCAGTAGCAGTGCAACTTATTTTCCAAGATAGTATCTTAACTTCGTTTGAAGAATACGCGAATGAGGAAAACAGATTCTCAATCAGCATCCTAGGCGAATCTAATGATATACATCGATTTATAAATTGTTCGTATTTTTAATTGGAACAATTATATCAGCTGTGGTCTATCCAACAATCTATCTAATTTCAGACGATCTTGCATGACTGTATTGCCTATACGGACTGATGGCTCTATAACGATGCGTTTTTGAATTCGCTGCGATCCCTTCGCTGTGACAACGACGTAGCACCATCGTTTATATAAAGTTATTTCTCACAGTTACTTTGGATTTTTTTTTGAAATCAATACTCGGAGAGCACTATTTCACCAAAAGCAGTCGCATAAAGGTGACAGATTTCTCTGCATTTGTTCATATATTTTCGTTGTGCTTTGATGACACCCACATTGACTGATTTAAATATTCTTTCTGCACTTGAGGTTCTCCTTTCGTCCTCCCGTTTGTCGAAGTTGACTGAGGTGCCATTCAACTTCCTACATGTGCATTATTTAGATTCGCTGTACTGCTGTACGTATCGAAAGTTTTGTGCTGGGTGGCAATTGGGTAGCTGATTTACTGGACAAGATCGACAAGCTTCCCTCATTTCAAACGATTCTAGCAAAATTTTGGCACCAAGGCTAGCAAATATTGGCACGGCTGGTTGACGACATATTCATTGCAATTTCATCTCGATTCTCTTTTGGCACAACTTACAAAGGAAGGATCCCTAGTCGAAGCGGTTCCCAGAGGAGATGCATCTTCTTGTAGTACATGGAATGCTTACTCCAAATCTTCTTTCCTTATCTGTGAAGCAAGGGGACAGAGACCTGCACCTGGACTTGCACAAAAACTTGCTACCGCTGCTTCCAATTTTCCATCTGCGAGTTTCAAAGGACCGAGGTGTCGCAGAAAGGACGGATCTGGAATTAGCGTCAAAAGCTTTAAGACTGCTTGAATCTCAATTTGAAGGCCACTTCAACTAAGATTCTGTTTCTGTTAGTAAATTTCTTGTTCATAATTGTGACTCTTAGCTCATGTCACTTGGGTTATCTGCTTCCGTTTATGAAGATTGTTGACATCATCCTTGCTTCTGATGTTGTTTGCTTACGTTTTTACTGTGCTTGTTTGTTCTCCCACATATATCTCAGTATATTAGGTTGGAAACTAAGTTTTGCAACTGGTCTCATAACTTCCCTCTCACTCAACATGGCGCACTCAAATTTTGCCACTGCGTTGGTTATTACGTAAGCTACAAGCGCAGCTGCTGTCCTACCAAATTCTGACGCGCAGTGAGGGTTACGGTAGGTGCATGGTATGAAGGGGAAAAATTCAAAGTTCGACGGATTTGGCTGAAACTTGGCATAGGGGTGTTATCCGACATGCTGATCACGAAAACGATAGTGAAATAGCGTGATAAGGGCTTTTTTGTAGGATTACTGTAGGTGTACGATATGGGGTCTCACCTTAGACAAGGAAAAAGGCGTTGATTCAACAAATGAATGTGTTATTCGCGTTTGGCTGGTCAAATAACCTTACTATGTAAAGTCACGGCGGAATTTGAGCTTCGGACTCTTTAGTCATTGACGGTCGTCCCCAGCGGCTCTCGCGTACATTGACTCGTTCGACTTTATGAGGACGCCAAATCTCGACATGCCCCTATATTTTGTTTCTTTCTTACTAGGCCAAAGGAGTCAACCTTCAGCAATAATTTGTAGACGAATCCGGATTACTGCGCATGGTTTAGGCTGCCAAAGGCTTCATTTTAGCTTGAAACCCCAAAAATTCTCAAAATTTACTGGTTTTCAAAAAACGCCTGAAACTTTCCTATTTCATGTTCAAAATTCAAACAATTTGTGCTCGCTTGTAGCTCACATTGCCTTCTACATGATGCCAAAGTTTGAGTGCGCCATATCCAAAGAGAGTGAAGTTATCAAACCAGTTGCAAAACTTAGTTTCCAGCCTAATATAAGCCGCACTGACATAAGTTGATGCAAAATCGTTTGCTAGGGTCGGTCAGTTTGCAGGGATTGCCAGTGTTAAAAGCATTGACTGTTGAAACTATAAGTCTTCCACTCTTATTCTTCCTCAAGCGATCTCAGATGGTGAGTACGGTTATGAAAGAATGAGAGTGCAAGACTAATGACAACACTGGCAAGGCTTGCAAACTCTGACCAATTTGTTACTGAGAGCCTGAAGTGTGAAATATCACACTTGCAGTGGCGACAAGTCGGGAGGCGCGATGTTTCTGGCTCTCACCACCTCAAATCTCCAATTTCGTGGTATGGGCGTGTTCAGGAATTGTCGGACAAAGTCCGCTGGATTACTAACAGTTTGAAGTAACCACTTGATAAGCTTGACGACTTTTGCTAGAGGACTGACAGGAATATTCACAAAATTGCTGTTGACTGCATTTTCATGGGTTTTTGACCTAC